GCTTACACTTCATACATGTGTTTAGCTTATTTTATTTTGGTTTTTTCATACAATTCCTTTAGTATTAAACAGACTTCTTTCTCACCCATTCATTATAAGATATTAAGTGTTTAAACATGTTTAATTATACGTTTTTTATATAATAGTTTCATAACAATGTCAACTAAATTGAATTTAATTGATATTTTTATTTTAAAATAAAAAAAATACAACATATCAATTAGAAAAATACTTATTTTGTAATGGTTTATCGGCATAAAAGTATTCTCCTACCTTATTGTATTCACTTTCTAGTCAATTTAAATACATAATCTTAGTTAATAAAATAACTTATCAAGTGGTTGCCGTAGTTAAAATGAGTGTTATTCTCTTTAAATGTTTTAGATTCAAGTAGTCTTGTTTATAATGTGTTTGCGTGGATGGGGACGAATATCTCTCCTAAAAATTTCAAATCACTATAGCAAATGTGTTCTGTAGCGACTTTTTTGCGGCGTTTTTAGGGTAAATGCCACAAAATTTAAGCATGTAGCGGCGTTTACAATCCAAATGCCAAAAAATGATACTTTAGCGGCATTTTTTCAAGAAACGCCATAATAGATTGGAAATATAGCGGCGTTTGTAGATCAAACGCCGGAACAGGGTAATTTATAGTGGCGTTTTTCTAACAAACGTCGCAACAGAGTGCTAATTTAGCAGCGTTTTTATATAAACGCCGCAAAAGGGTTATTTATGGTGGCGTTTTTCAAAAAAAAATGCCGTTATAGAGAAGTAATTTAGCGGCGTTTATCAAACAAACGCCGCTGTAGAGTAATAATTTAGTTGCGTTTGTGTAAAAACGCTGCAATAGAGTAATAATTTAGCGGCATTTTTTTAAAAAAATGCCGCCAAATGGTCAATATATGCTCGACTCTTCTCTCATGCCCGATCCCTAAAATTATTTCAACGCTCCTTCCCTAAAAGGGATTTCTCTGGTACAACAACGACCCTCAGACGATTCCAGGCGATGTCGTCTTCTGTCTGTCCCGGTGACCAAATTGGCCCTCTTACCGACGAACAATTATCTCACGATTGCACGGTTTGATCCCTTTTCTCACTACTAAACTTTTTCTTTTAATTTTTGTTGGTATTCTGAAAATGGGGAAAACCCAGAAAGCTAACGTAATGGAGAAAAATAAAAGTTTTCGAATAGGAAAAGAATATATATACATATTTTTTATTGGTTTACTGCTAATTGGGAGCATTGTTTTTCTGCTTTCAAATAGAAGAATAATAGCTTTCGAATAGGAAAATAATAGCTTTTGAAAACGTGAACAAATGGTTGTGGTACAAAGAGTAGGTGTTGCATTGAGTATGAAAAATTATCGTCGGAATGTCCACGTGGCGTCTTTGCTCTGACGATGGATCAAATTAACGTTGGGAGGCTATTAGTCTGAACTTGCCTTCAAAACTCGATGATGACCCAAAAGGCCCTCCTATTGTAAAACACCCTTCCATGGTTTATCTCCTAAATGAAGGTAATAATTAATCGATGAAAGTTTCTGGCGCTATATTTTTTTACTGTAAAATTTAATAGATCGCACGCATGTAGAATGTTCAAAGCTTATTGAGAACGATGATAGAGCAAAATTTGGTAACTCTGTGGCGTTGAAAGAATCTTCAATTGCAAAAGCAAATCTATCCTCAATGAAAACATTGTTGCCTCTATTGTTAGTCCAAGTAAACGTTTCTATCATCTATTTAATTTTTTTTATGTTTGATTTTGTTCCCAAGCCAGCTCAAATCAAGTTTCATATTGTAGGTGGAAGGTCGTTATCTGTTTCAAGTGAAGCACTGAAGCGCGCAATGAGTCTTCTTGGCGAACCGGAGGTAGGGGATTTATTTGGTGAAATGGATGAAGAGTTTCTCCATATAGAGTTTTCACAGAGGAAAAACTTAACGATGCGTCGTCAAACAAGGAAAACAGCTTTCTTACGTCCTTTGCCCACGAAGGAGCAATGGAGACTAAATTCTAGTGAACAATATGGTTAAGATTGTTAATGCAATCTTTAATGTTTCTAAATTTGAATGTATTTTTTTGTAAGTATTTGTATGCATAACTTGTGTCTTAATTAAAATCTATGGTTTTTTAATTAAATAAAGCTATATGATAGTAAATTAAGTTTATGCAGAGAAGAAATAAAATATTTAAAATCAATTAATCTTATACAGTTTAATGAAATTAGCGTCGTTTATATCAAAAACCGCTGCAATAAGTTCATTCATAGTGGCGTTTTTCCAAAAAATTGTCGTTACAAGGATAACACTTTAGCGACGTTTTTGTACAAACGCCCCAGTAGATTATATCTATTGCAGCGTTTTTATACAAACGCCGTAATATAATAGAACTTTAGCGACGTTTTTGTACAGACGCTGCAGTATATATAATCTATAGCGGCACCGCCGCAATATAATAGAACTTTAGATGCGATTTTATGAAAACATCGATAAATAGGCACACGTTAGTGTAGTTTTTTGAACACAAACGCCGCAAATGATTTCAACATTAATGGCGTTTATTAGAAAACGCCGCTATAGAGTACAACTATAGAGGCATTTGTATAACAAACGTCGTAAATTTATTTAAAATACCTAAATTTCCCGATTGAAACTCGAGCCTTATTCTCTTCGTAAACCCTCAATCAGTTCATCCGCTCTCCCTCACGCAAATCGGTCCCAACGTCCAACATTCACGCCATCGGTCCCATCATCGCACCATCACCTGCGAGTCCTATAGAGGTATGTGTCGATTGTATGAATGAAACTTCCCATAATTTCTTTAACAGTAATACTCCCTCCCCAGTTGTTTTGGGTTTTCTACATTATAAATAATTTAGAGATTATGTTTAAAGTTTAAAATTCAAAGCAGTTTTGCAGGCCTTATGGATAGGGTCGACCCAATACATGTGCCTGATGGGCGATGGCCCAGGGCAGCATATAGGGTCGGGGCATCAATTTTTAATATTGTGACCAGCGCACCTTGAGAAGCGAATGATAGGACATAGCGAAGAAAACCCATAAAGGAACATTGTAGAAGGGAGAGTGGGTAATTTCCTTTTCTGTATATGTTGTCTCCCACAATAGCTTCGATGTTGGAACCTGGAAGCTCAACAGCAAACATATATTTACCGGAAGAGTGATCGGAGGCTGCTGATTCCATAGCCTATGATTCTGTAACTTCGCCTCCTCCTTTGTTTTTAATCTGTGGTGCCAAAAACTCCGGCAAAACTACTTTCTTCCGTCATCTCCTTAATGTTCTTCTCCAAAGGTTAGGAGTTCAGGAGAGAATCATTGGTTTGTTTCTTTTGATTCTAATTTCTCCAAGTTTAATTTATTTGTTGTGAAAGGGATTATGACTAAATGTTTAAATATGCGCTGATATTAGCTGAAATAATTTTTTTGTTGGGTGTTATTGCTGGATGGTTTATGAATATGCCCCTATTTTTATTTCATTTTTCTAGTTTTATTTGGAAGGTTATTTGTAGTTTTGGATTCCAGAAGGCAAATATATTCCAGAGATCAAACATATAGACAACTGTGAAATGAACATATACAGAATGTATAGCTAAAAATATATTTATAATGGACGTTTTCCATTGAAAATATATGATAGGAAGAAGGAAATGTTCCTTTTATAGTGACCAAATCAATAAATTAAGGAATATGAAACCAAATTGTAGTTTAAGCTTTAAACTCACACGACCTTTCCACTGTTGTTCCTCTTGAGTGATCAAGGACATCTGGTTCCTTCGGATTCGGGTTAAGCTTGAAAGATGAACATTTAATGTGAGACAGAAAATCAAAATTTTGATTGACCGGAGCACGGGGAGATGGGGGAAAGTTCATTTTGGGAATGGTATATTTATGGTTTTTTATTGAGAATCAATTTAAGAATATGTGTTGTTGGAGCTTATGGTTTCTATTTTCTGATTTTCTGATTAAGGTTACTTGCCTAAAAAACTCTGTAGAGCGCTCAATCATACTTTTACCTACTCACATTTGTTGTACATATTAGCTACTCTGGATATTGTGCGTCAAGGCGCAAATGTGATGCCAAGGAGCCAGCTCAATCAAGTTTTAGATGCTGAACTTGGTCCTGGTTGGTCCACAAAGGTGACTAGCTTTGATTATAAACCCTTGGCTGCTGCAAGTATAGGCCAGGTAAGAAAAATGGTTGCATGTTTATTGTGTTGTCATGTTGACTAGGATGTTCCCCATATGCTTTGTCTTTAACCTTTTAAGTTAGAATGTTTTGTTATCTATACGTTGCTCTATGCTACAAAGAGTCTTTATGTACAAAATCTTGTATCTACAAGTGGACATGTTAATATCAATTACTCATTTTATTTCTGGCATTGATGTTATTTGGTTGGAATGGATCATTGTTTAATGCTCTGGCATTTTTGTTCTTTTCAACCTTCATTTGTGTTCACTGGTGTTTTATGTGATAACTACCTTGTTTAATTTAATTTGTCTCTGGCAGTTTGATGTTTGTTACTACTTACACATGGTTTCCTTATTTTATATATATAAATTCATTTTTTGAGTTTTGCTTATGCTTTTCGGCATTTAAAAAACTATCATCCTTGTTTTTAACTCTAGACTTGAGTTCAAGTTGAATTCATAGTAAAATGATTGGCTTTTGTGGAGAAAGAACATAACTTGTCATATCATATAATTCCTTCCTATGTTTTGTCTATTATATGGTAGGGGCATAAAATTATTATCTCGCACAGGGCATTAAAATTCATTGGACCGGCCCTGCTTATGGATGTGGATTACTTTTAATTGATTGATCTCATTGTTGGTTTTCCTCTCAGTTCCTATAAAATCAAAATGTTCGTGCCTCTCTACTATGAATGTATTTGCTTATTAGGAGCTACAAATGGCTTCGATCATTGTTTATTTCAAAGTGTATTGTCAGGCTTTGTTCCTCTTATAATTTATGTTAATTCTCAGGTAGTTATTCATACTACAAGATTGCCAAAGCAGAGCACTGTAGGGGATGTTCTTCATGACCTCAAGACAAAGGTAACCATTACAATTTTATTTAAAACAATCCTTAACTTTTGCCTTCGATATATTAAAAATAAAACGTTCTTCTATGGCACCACCAACTATGGATGCTTGATCACCCTGCACATGCAAAAATGAAAATGATTTATGTTAAACTTCTGATTTTGGAAAAAAATGGCTAATTTGCAGTATCCTTTGATGTTTCTTATTACCATAATTTAGAGGAACAACATTTTCTTGTATGATTTTCAGCTTTTGCATGACTAGCAAACAAAAGAATAATCCAAAGAAAAGAAAAAGGCAATAATATAATTCTTTTAAAAATTTGCCGATTGTAGTTGAAACTTTTTCACCTTGACAAGCTCTGATAGATTTTGCTGCAACATTATGCTAAACTATTATTGAACTTTAGACTTCAATCAGTCCAGCTTTTCAGAACTGTATTTAATCACATCAGAATTGTATTTCTCTTAAGAACATCAATTAGTTATCGAGTAATATGGATAACATCAATTTAATATATAAACCCGTGTTATACATGTTCATCATAATTACCAGGGCATCCCTACATAGAACTATATAATGTCCCTTATCCTGAGTTTTAATGGCTGGGAACTAAAAGGAAAGGAAGAAGATCATACCCTTTGGACATAAGATTCAGGCATGAGGGAGCGTAGAACAACCAGATGTTCATTCATTTGCTTCCTCATGTTTCTCTCAACTGCAATGTGAGTCGTTCTTTGAGTCTCGGCCTCTTCTTTGTTCTTGCAAACCCTCGGCTTTCTCCTCCGGTTTTTCCTCCCTTGAACCGCCAAGTTAGCCGTCAGGTCGACGTTTGCCGCTGCTGTCGAGGGGATACATTGTGGGGGAGGAGTATTCACCACCATAGGAAAGCAATTCAGAATCGTACTGCTAGGAAATCGTGGGGTATCCAAATTTATATAGAAATAAGAATACCAACAAATAATGGATTACTCAACTAAATTAGATTTAATGATCATTTTACCTTCCAAATAAAGCATTCCATTTCATTGATGGCCTGTGATAAGAATACCAACAAATAATTTAAAGGTTCTGTACTTTTTTTTATTCTTCATGCCTCTTTTGATTTTATTATTCCCTATTCCTTTCCCAAGATTTTAACCCAAAGCCTTCGTGTTTAACATGTCAAGTTTTAACGATTAGGATCCCCTTGGTTAATAAATATTATTTTTGTAATATTCTTTTGACTATGTATTGGTCTTTGGCTATGGTTTATGCATCACATTATTTTGGTGCTAACAAGCTAATGTTTCATGGGAAACTGGAAAGTCTAAATATTTTATTGTTGCATTGTTGTTAACAAATATTTTTTGGTTGTTGTATTTATATTTTCAGTTTATAGTTAATAAACTATGGAAAACTGGTTCAGTAACTGTTTCTTGCATGATAAGCTTTGTTTGCTCAAAATGTAAGTAAAAAGTTTTATAGATCTTAACAATGTTGTGGGAAGGGGTATATTTGGAGTTACCAAATGTATTATTACTTGAACTTAGAACAGTTTATTTGGAGTTGCAATCTTTTTAAAACAACAATCTTGTTTACGTACTTCCCTTTTGTACTTTGTCTAAATGAAATATGTATGTCCCTTTAGTTTGTCTGCTTATTTTCTGGTCTAAAAATTAAAGCAAATCATGTTCCTGAAAGTCCCTGAACCTTGGAAATCACTGGTGTTGTTGGAGTTTGATCGAGTTGCACAGGTATAAGTGGTATTAGCACCACATACTTACGGAACTCATTATAAGTTATTTTTTTAGTTTATTTAATTCGCATGCATATATTAAGTTTACTTTATATTAGTTGTGGAAACAAATAATATTTAATTGGCATGCATATATTAGTTTATTGCAGAGGTTCATAATTAATACAAAGTGGCATGCAATGTTTAATTATTGCCTTTACTTTAGAATTAAGCTTAAATGTAACTATTTATGATATCTCAGTAAAGCCTCACTAAGGTTAGCTGTGGATCACCAAACATTTCTGGTTCTGGTTCATCGAAACAACATCATATTCAACATTTTCCAGGTTTGTCCATGACACTCATTAAGAAAAGTATTTTTATGTTGCTTTAAGATTGTCAAGTCAAGTGTAATAAATTATTGTTGGTGTCGCATAGTTGACTAGGACTTAAGTGGGTTGTCATTGGAATTCTAACTTCTAACAATGATGCATTTCATTGAAAAATAGTATGCATTTCACTGAGAATATGTTGAGTAGGCCTTAAGTCGGTTGCCCTTTTGGGTTATTCTTTTTCTTTATTTCTTGAACCTTTTGCACTAAATATGATAGTTTAATGCTTCTGTTTAGGTTCTAAATTTATCTATAATATTAACAATTAACATTTAAATTTGAAACTCCAGAAATACGAAATGGATAAGAGTTGGATGGATTTCTCAAGGGTTAGCATCGAATATCGAAATGGAGTCGAAAACTTTCTAAATTTAGCTTTTCTGAATGCAAGCCAAGAGAATATGATTCTTTGCCCTTGTAAGAACTGTGTCAACATTAACTAGCACATTCGTGAAGTTGTGTATAAGCATCTAGTTGTTTTTGGATTTGTTTGGGGGTATAGAAAATGGATATTTCATGGAGAGTTTGTATCAGATAGATCTGCTTCCACGAGTTATTCGACTTATCATGCTCCTTCTCACCACCTAACTTTTAGAGAATATGAGATGAAAGGGATGATACGAGATGCATTTAATATGCACAATCATCAGCCGTACGTTACAGAAAATTATTATGACAATAATGTTAATGATTTCATTGAGATGTGAAGAATTGGATGTGATGAAGAGCCAAATGGAGAAGCGGCAAAGTTTTACAAGTTGTTGAATGAAATGAATGAACAACTTTATGAGGGATCAAAGTTTTCAAAGTTTTCTTTCTGCATTCGTCTTTTCCACTTAAAATGCCTGGGAGGGTGGACTGGTAACTCCTTTACGCAATTATTGGAGTTACTAGGAGAAGTGTTTCCTTTTGTAAAAATCCCTCAATCATGCAAAGATATGAAGAAAATGATAAAAGATTTGGGTCTTGGATATGACAAATAATTGTCCGAATGATTGTATGTTGTATTGGGGTGATCAAAAAAATCAGGAGTCTTGTCATGTATGCAAAAAATCTCGATGGATGACTAGGGAGGCAGAAAATGTTAATGAAGATGCAGATCAAGCACGATCAAGAAAAAAACCGATCAAGATTCTGCGATATTTTCCTCTCATACCTAAGCTACAAAGATTGTTTATGTCCTCCAAGACTGCTGAGTCTATGAGGTCGCATCATGATGGCAGAACCGATAACGGATTATTACGGCATCCTGCAGATTCTTTAGCTTGGAAGTCATTTGATAACAAGTATCCAAGTTTTGTGAGAGATCCTCGAAATGTCAGGCTCGGTCTTGAACCTGATGGGTTTAATCCATTCAAAATCATGAGTACCTCGTATAGTACTTGGCCTGTTGTACTTGTTCCATACAATTTGCCTCCCTGGATTTGCATGAAACAATCATCTTTCATCTTATCCATGATAATCCCTGGCGAGAAAGGCCCCAAAAATGATATTGATATTTACATGCAGCCGCTAATTACAGAGTTGAAACAATTATGGGAAGGGGTCGAAATATACGATGTGTTGACGAATGAGAACTTTAATTTACGCGCTACTTTATTATGGACAATTAATGATTTCCATGCGTATGCAAATTTATCTAGTTGGAGTACCAAAGATCGTTATGCCTGTCAGTGTTGTGCTGCACAAACATGTTCGAAGTGGTTGGTTAATGGAAAGAAGTTCTCTTATATGGGACATCGTCGGTGGTTACCTGATAGTCATATATTTAGGTGTCAAAAGAATATGTTTGATGGTGATGAAAAGTTTCGAAATGCTCCTGACCAAACAACCGGGTCTGAAATATTCAGAATGTTGAAAAATATGAATTTTACTTATGGAAAGATGAATCAACCAAGTAGTGCACGCTCAAAGAAAAAGGCAAAGCAGGTGAATGAAGAGGTTGAAGTTGACCAACAGAGTGATGATGAGTTTGATGAAGAGGATGATCCAAATGAGGTTGACTTATGGAAAAAAATGAGTATATTCTTCGAGTTGCCTTATTGGAAGAATCAGATTTTGAGACATAATCTTGATGTTATGCATATTGAGAAGAATGTTTGTGAGAATATTATCGGGACCATTCTAAATGATGGCAGAAAATCTAAAGATAATCTTAAGAGTCGACTTGACTTAGTGGACATGTGAATTCGGCATGATCTTCATCCGCAATTACATCCTAATGGAAAATGTTTCTTGCCGCCTTCCATTTTTTCTCTTTCAAAGAAAGAAAATGAAGTGTTTTGCACGGTCTTGAAGGATATAAAGGTCCCAGATGGGTATGCATCAAACATTTCTCGATGTGTCAGTGTTAAAGATCGAAGACTTTATGGTTTAAATTCACATGATTATCACATATTAATGCAAGATTTACTGCCAGTAGTTGTTCGTGGTTGCATGTCGAGTAAGGTGACGTCTTGTATCATTGAACTTTCTAATATAATGAAAACCATATGTGGGAAAGTGCTGATGGTTGAAGAACTTGATAAACTACAAGATCGAGTCACCTTGACTTTATGCAATTTGGAGAAGATATTTCTGCCTTCATTCTTCACAATTATGGTGCATCTACTAATTCATCATCCTCATGAAGCAAGAGTTGGTGGACCAGTTTTCTATCGATGGATGTACCCTATAGAGAGGTGTTAATTGAATTATACGTTTGAAATTACTACTGATTATACCTTTTAATAAAATGTATTTACGTAGTAAGTTGTTCTGTGTATAGGTTCTTGGGAAAGTTGAAGTCTTACTGTCGTAATAAGCGTTATCCGGAAGGATCAATTGCTGAAGGGTATTTGGCAGATGAATGTATGACATTTTGCTCTAGATATTTGGAAGATGTTGAAACAAGATGGAATAGATCAAATCGAAATAATGTATTAAGTACTAATGACTTACCTGAACATTATTTGTTTGGAAGTTATGGTCAACCATTAGGGAAAGTTGAAATTGCACAGTTATATGACACGTCTTGGGTACAAGCACACCGATATGTTCTTTTCCATCACGATTCAATAGATCCCTTTAGCACGTAAGTCTTTCGGACTCAATCCTAATGAAATCTCTTAATCTTTTATATTTATCATTTATTAACGACATAATATATTTTATAGTGAGTTTAAAGAATTCTTGAGATCTCGTGCACGCTCCCGAAGATTAAATCAACGAGAGATACATAATTGTGGGAGAGGTACATAAGTTATTCACAGAAACTTTTCATGAATGGTTAAGCCAGACGGTAATCAACTAAATCATTCCACATACGTGTAAATAATATATGTCTTGCTTTTTATGTGGCATGATATGTTGCATCAATCGATTGGAGGATTAAATTTATTTTAATTTATTAAAAGTATGACTGAATTAAGAAATAACAAAGATCAAATGTGTGATTATATCAAAATATTTAACTGATGTTAACGATAGTTAACTCGGGGTGACCACATCGTAAATAAATAAAAATGAAAGTGACCAAATATTAATTAAACAAAAAAGAAAAGTGATCATATCTTATGTTTTTTAAAATCAATGATCAAAAGTAGATAAAACAAAAATATAAGTGATCATACATGTAGTTAATCCTTATAATTAATACAGTAGTGAGAGTTGTTGTCTTCGCATTAACTTCGTGAATACCCTTTTTTTTTAATTGGGTAACATCCATATAAAAGTATTTATGTTCAAACTTCAATGGGAACCAAAACGATGAAGATGTAGAAGTATGCATAGAAGGACACGT